TCAAGCAATCCTCTTGTCTTAGCCAACCAAGTATCTGGGACTATGGGCATGTGCCACCATGTCTGGCTAATTTTTATGATGTTTTGTAGAGATGAGGTCTCACTATGTTGCCTAGGCTGGTCTCGAACTCCTGGCTCAAGCAATCTTCCTGCCTCAGTTTCTATAAAGTGCAGGGATTACCAGCGTGAGGCACCATGCCCAGCCCTTGGGATTTATATAATTTATATCTTACAGATGAAGAAACTGAGACTTATAAACTTAAATATATGGCCAGGGACCACTCAGTAAGTGAGGGACTGGAATTCAAAAATATATACTTTTAAGCAATAAATTATGCTACAACAAAGATTAACAACACACGATTAGAAAGGAATTTTATAAAATACGTAATACATACACACAGTCAAAACAGGAGAAAGGAAGTCTAGTATGCAGGATAATACATGTGGGGACCCAAGAAAAACCCCTGAATTTTATTTATAAAAAACTGTGTATTTATTCTTATATGTTTAAGCTTCAGTCACTTTCACAGTGCTCTCTGTTTGATGCAATACACCTATCGAGATGCTTTTTCCACTGCTCAAAACAGTTTTAGAACTCATCAATTTTGGTGTCTTTTAGTGCTTTTGCCATTTTTTGTTTTACCTCTTCCACACTGGCAAAACGTTTCCCTCTGTGGAATTTTTTCATCTGGGGAAACAACAAAATTTTGTCACTGGGGATGAGATCAAGAGAATAGGGAGGGTAGGGCAGGGGCTTTTTTGCCTCCCCAACCCCAGTACATTCAGGTGGCTAGGCATCTATTTAATTCTGACACTCTTGGAGAATAAGGCAAACGAGAAATATGAGGAATCACATGAGCCTCAGCTCTTGATCAAAGGAAACTCAAGTTTATAAAGAATACAGGTGGTGATTAGTAGGAACTATGAACCATAGGCCCTGGTAAATAAGCTAGTCCTTAAATCATGCAGATTGCTAAATTCAGAATTTGACACTTATCCTTTCCTCCTTCATCACATCCAGTCGGGTTTCAGGTCCTGTGAATTCCCTATCAGCAACATGACTCCATCCAACTTTCCCTCTTATCTCTACACCTAGTGTCCTTGCTGGATCGTGACTTGCCTTCTTTCTGAAATAGCCTTTTCCATGGATCTGTCCACCTCAACTCCAAACAAATGAACAAGAATCTCTGTGACAAAATGATACACATAAAATTTAGGAAAATAATTTTGGAAATGCTGACTCTTCTGCTAAAGAACATAAGCTTTATCAGACCTGACTCCAGAAAACTAATTGCAAAGACTTCATCTCTAGTAGTGATCGATTGGTACTGTCTCCTCCTTAAGCTTCCTGCAATACAGCACACATGGAATATACGGTTCCCTCAAATGTGCCCAAGGCCTTTAGGGGCCCATTTTCCTTTTCTATTTTCTCCTCTTTCACCAGCTTCACCTGAAAATTTTATAGGTTATTTTCCTTCTCCATGACTGCCCTACTCAAACTCAACATTTCAACTATCAAGGTGTGTGAGGATGTGTCTAGCCACATGTTGGGGCTTAAAATATTTAACATGTTATTATTCAAAGTTAATAAAATGCTAAAAGAGTAGATATATAAAACCATAATATCTACATAAAACTCATAAGAAAAGTATTTTGGACTTAAAATACCCAAATTTGAAGCAAACAGAAAATGCCAATTAAAAAAACCTTTTGAATTCAAACAGTCAAATGCACAACCAGATGTGTGTGTGGCCTGTCTAAAGCTGATTATTCATACACACACTGCTGGGCAGACGACTGATGATTTACCTAAGGTAGAAAAATCCTCTGCATCTGGATTGACTAAATGCTTTCTAGAATCTTTTCCAATGATCTTGAACTTTGGTTTTGCAAGGTCCATCTAATATTTAGAATTGATTGCATTTTACATGTATATATGAAATCTGTCAAAAATGGTCTGTTCATAGTTCATGCTCACAAATATGAATCTCATCTTTTCCTGGATGTATAAAAATGTTAAGGATGTTTAAAAATTGGCTGAAATGTCAATATTCTTTGATTAAAGTTAGTCTCCTGTCCAAATAACATTTCTTTATTTGTGATTGATCAATACTTTTTTTGGAAAAAAAAAAATCCATTAAAGGAACCTAAAAGCACCAGCCTTTGTAATCTTGAATTTATGCATTAGAAAAGGAGAAAACTGAATAATTAAGTTCCTAATTGAAAAGGGTTATGCTTATCTATTTACCTAAAGTCAGAATCCAGGGTTTTAAAACATGTGCATGATTCATGTTTTTTTTATTTAGGATAGAGAATGTATGTACTTGGACCAATTTATGCATCTTTGCCATTGAATACATTGACAGAACAGAGGAAAATTTATTTATTCACACTTTATAAAGTTTACTTTTATTAGTTTTAATGCATTTCAAGTAGATTTAGAGGATTTGTTCCACTCTTACATAGTGAAAACACACTATGGTGCCAATCTGACTTCACATGCAGGAAGTCAGAATGATATAAGAAATATTTCATTATTGGTAGTTTCTTCCTCACTTTCCTAGAACAGAGATGATATGAAATAGAGTCTCCTGCACTACACAGTCCACCTATGGCTGCCTCTAATGTAAATGACAGCTGAAAGATCAGACATGACACTGAACTCAGCCTTGCATTTTCCATCCATGTCTCTCGGCCCTTGTCTCTGCTTCCTCACAGCAGCAGCAAAACCTTGCACTTCTTTGCCCTGACATTTGTCAGAGCAGGATTAGCTGAAATTATTTCAGCCTCTCCTATGCACAATTGATCACAAATGTTCTTTATCCCTGATGATATATAACATTTTAAAAAGTTTCCTTCTGGATACACTAACGGACACACTCTATAGAAAATTTGAGTAAAATGAAAAACAGTTATCATTTATTCGTAAGAGATCCTCTTCTCACATGCATTCCTTTCCATATTTAAGGCACACTGTGTCCCTTTTCGGTTTGTGGGAGACTATGATGAATTGTAAATACATCAAACATACCTTTTCATTCAAAAGTAAGTCTAAAAGCAGGAAATCCCATTGGAGGAAAGTCTCATTGAAAGACTGTGATGAATTCCCACCAGCAGTGTATAAAAAAAAAAAGAAAGAAAGGCTGTGATGCATTAGAGGTCCACACTTACTGACTAGTTCACTAATGCTGTTCTTAATAGTCTTCTGTGAAAAACAATGGCACATGGATATTGAACCTGGTAGGATTTACTTCACACCTGAAGTGATTTTCAGAAAAAAATGTATTCTATTATGTCCTCAATTTAATAGTGGAAATGCATTCAGATGAGGGTGGGGATGAGGAGCCTCAGTGAACAGAAAACCACAGTTCCCTTTTGATTATTTGGGGCTGATTAACATACTCCAGGTGGTGATGAAAGTCTTTGTTTGGGTTGTACTGAAGAGAGTGGGTAAGGGAGGTGGGGGTGGGACTACATAGGGACCCACACTCCAAAGTTAGGTGTAAATGGCAATGAGTCACTAAGGTCAAGGCTCAAGAACAGAACTGAAGGCAGATCAGCACCTCTCTTTTACCAGCTGATGTTACTGTGCATAGGACCTAATGTTTCAGCACCAATTTACCACTGATTTTCAAATCAATTAATTTATTTCTGAATAATAAAACTGACTAGGGCAATGCTATAACATTTATTTTATTTAAATTTTTATCTTAGATATTGTTGAAGACCGATATATGATGGAAGTTTAGGAGTTATATTTATAATAAAATATTCATTATGGTACCGTAATATGGAATAACAAGTACACCATGCTCTAGAAAATATATAGTTATATTAAATAAATTTCAAGTTAAATACATATTTCTTCTCTATCTATATATTCATTCCTCATATTTCTCAGGGAAAAAAAGGCAAATTCAATTCTCCATATTAATAATGATTAATGGATTATTATTAATAATAATTATTATGAATTACAAAGGTCAAATAGTCAAAAAATAAGATAACTCTTGATGACAGTGCTCTGTAAAATAGTTTTTGACTTAAAAAAATACCTGTTTCTCAGACTTCCTTCTTTAGATCTGTGGAGAACTGAAATGAGCAGACATTTAGACTTTTTTGTATTAACAGCAGTGGCTCATACTTTGAGAGGTTGAGGTGGGGGTATCATTTGAGGACAGGAGTTAGAGACCAAACTAGGCAACAATGTGAAACTCTGTCTCTGCAAAAAATAAAATTAGCCAGGCATGGTGGCAAGTGCCTGTAGTTTCAGCTACTTGGAAGATCAAGGCTGCTGTGAGCTGATGGTGCCACTGCACTCCAGTCTGGTTAACAGAATGAGACCCAACTTGAAATAAATAAATAGCATAAACAATGTCTTAAATATGATACTATCATACAAACCACAATAAATAATCTTAAGAAAAGTAAAATTATATACTATGATACATAGGTTAAATGTATTTCATTATTTTATTTACTATAAAATCAATAAAGATAAAGATTTTAAGATTTCATGTAATCAAAAGAAAGTTTAACCTATGAAATTATTTCATAGGCAATTATACCTACATACACACACACTATCCCTGGGGTAGACATCTTTATTTAAAATGGTTAATAATAATTCACAGATCAGTTTTATATCTGACTAAACTCCTTAATTACTTACTACTTTACCACTGATCAATTCACTGTCCTGAAAGAAAAACTGGTTCTAAAACACAAATTTTTGACTCAATTATTGACAGAATGTATTGCTTTTAAGATTTCTTATATATGGTGAGCACAAAGGAAATAAGTAATCTCGATAATATGATAAAAATTAATGGAAATGTTAGAAAATCATTACTTGCTGTAAAAATGGAGTTCACAGGGAAAAAAATCAATGGCAATTTAATAATTATTATGTATATGTATAAGAGCAAACCTCATTGTGTATTTAGAGAAAACATTTAGGGATGAATGTAAAACTATGAATACATTTTTGTCACTTACCTCTTTTAACGTTTCTGGCTGATTTGTCTGAAGGACACGGGCAGCGGCCTTCACATTTGACTGAGATCTGTTTGCCTAAGACACATGCCTGGTATTCTAGCTTGCACTGTATAAAAAGAGACAGAGAGGAAAAAAGTAATTCAAATACCTCTAGTTGTATCAATAGAAAATCAAGAAATATTTAGGAAAATAAATTGTTATGCATTTTTCCACCATATATCTCCAATACTAAGGTACAATTTTACACACTCATATACAGCCTCACCTATTCCACAGAGGACACAAAAGTGCAGTCACTTATAGTTATTTTGGCGAACAATCATTGAGATATATGTCTTAAAAGTTGCTCTTAGTTTGTCAGTTCTATTGTATAAACTGAGTAGGTAATTTTAGAATCAAATGGACAGATGTCATTGGGTTTGACAGTGTATCTCTTGAACCTCCCTTTAAATGTTCTTGGTTTTTACTTACTTGAGTAAGCATGTCTTTTCTCTCTTACTGTGCTCTAAATTTTGGCTACAGAGGCTGTATATACATCAGTCTTTAGATGATGACTTGCACAGCATCGAATGGACTATCAAATATCACACTAGGCAAACAATTATAAAACATTTATTTGTGAATTGATATGTTTAGGAAATACTTTGTTTGTGGTCTCCCACAAAGATACACCATAGTACAAACATACAGACATACACACAGAAAAGAAGCATACATATTTATGTATAAAATAAACAAGCAAAATGTTTATTTAACCCTTGTATACACACACTTAGTGTGTGTATGCATTTCACATATATTTTAGTATAATGATCTTTTCAGTGTCTCTCTGATCATTCCATGAAAGTGGCTTTTATTATTATTATTATTTTAAAGATGTGGGGTACAATTCAGGGTTAGGAACATAAGTGGTCATCTTACAGATGAAGTTTGGGTACCCTTATTGATGTTATGTGCCCCTCCCTTGAGTTGAGCAGCCAACAGTTCTTACATTTGAACAAATGTTCAGTCATAATATGCCAGTCACATAAGACTGTTTCTACAAGCCCCAGAGATTGTTTCATTTGTTTTACTAAAAAGAGTATAGCATGCTTTTCTTCAGTGCTGTGCGACCAGAGAATTAGAAACAATTAAGAGAGCCGGGCTCAGTGTCTCAGCCTGTAATCCCGTGCCTTTGGGAGGTTGAGGTGAGTGGATTGCCTGAGCCCGCAGGTTTGAGACTCGCCTGGGCAACTTGGCAAGACCTCATCTCTACAATAAAAAATCAAAAAAAAAAATTGAAAAAAAAAAAGAGAGTCACAGTGGTACACATGTGATTCTATTGTACACATGATGGCCAAAAGATAATGAATGATATATAAAACAAGGATAGGAACTCCTGAATTTGAATATTTTGAGTAGCATCTCCTAAAAATGACATTTAGGGCTAGTGTCTCAAATGTCCTCAGCTTCAATTTTCCAATAAATGACTGGGATAATAACATCTATTCTCCAGAGTTTTAAGAATCAAACAGCCAGTTTTCCCAACTCAGTATCTATCATAAACCAGGGTCTCAGAAAAAGTTAATCAAAGTACTCAAAGTAAAACAAAACTATCACGGCACGAGTTTTTTGCTTATTTTTTAGTTTAGTTTGATTTTCTTTGCAAACATTACTCATTGTGAAATTTTAAGCCAGAGTACCCTTAATTCATTTTAAAGATAATTTTATAACTGCACATTTGACATGATTAAAAATTATAAACCCACTCCATCTTTTAAGAGACAGTAATTATCTTCCTATTCTAAAAGAAATAGATCTCACTAATTTTGAAGTAATATGATTTCTTTAGTGACTACTTCCATAATTTACCCAGGGTAAATTATTTTAAAAGTAAGTAGAGTAGACTTTCTGTCTCCAATAGGAAATGTACCAACAACTAAATCAATTCAGCTCAATTGACATCAAGAAACACTGAATACACCTAGTAACTAATCAGATTACTCACATCTCTACAACATTTCATTTTTTTCTTGTTCAATAACTCTTTAATGGACAGGCAAAATTCTTAAGTAGCCCTGCAACAAATGATTAAAGATTATTAAGCACTGTGAACATGTTAGTAGTAGCATACTTGCCCTTTTGGAGGAACAGACTCATTATTTTTCATTATTCAGTTTTTCAGTAATTGAAAAAATGATTTTGTTGTGTAAAATAACAATTAATTTTAAATGTAATTAAAAAGTCCAGTATCTAATCAAAATTATAAATAAATAGGTAAGCAATTATGAGTGCTTTAATGAAAGTCAAATAAATTATATGAAACTTTGGGACTTCAAATTTAATATACTTCACAATAACTTCTGTTAACTTAGTATTTCACAGTACCAAACTTACATATATAAAAATTCTGACTCATGAAAAAATTTTTTTAAATTCAGGAGCAATTTTAAGTGGTATATGAAGAATCAAAACCAAAAGTCAATATTAATTATAGTTAACACTGGATTTTACCATTTGAAAGTATGCCAGCTTCCTTCATAGACATGTTATACCACACTCACTTACATTGTAAATATGGTTTATTTTAGTGGTGATGTTTTCAAAATATAAAGAATATGAAAGGTTAATAAATATGAAAGGGTAATAACTGAATCAACAACAAAAATATATGAGATGCGTTAGTTTATTAAAAACGGGTGGTGGCAGCAGCAGCAGTAGAGTTGGGTGAGTCAGGATCTGATTCAGCCTCCTCCCACAGCAGTTCATGAGGCATCTGACTCACGTTAAGAGCAACCCCATTGGTGTGTGCGAAGAGCAGAGGAGAGGGGCTGGGGGCTGGAACTGGCTTCCTACCTCAGCAGCAGCCAGAAGACCCTGTGGTGTGCTTGGGAAAGGAATCTGAAGTTTTAGAATTGGCCCACAGAGGGAACTCTTTTTTTTTTCTTTGTTTTAGTACTTGTTTTTTTTGGTTTTTTTTTTTTTTAGTGTTTTTTAGTTTTTCTGTTTGTGTATGGGCCTTTTTGAGGGCAAGTGCCTCATCAGGTTCTTTTTTTGTTTGGATGCTTGTTTGCTTGTATTTTTTTGGCTTTTGGGGTTATTTTTTGTTTTTGTTTGTTTCTTTTTTTTTATTGGACTTTTAGTCTGTCCCCCAGGCTGGAGTGCAGTGGCACATTCATGGTAACCACAGCCTTGACCTGCTAGGCTTAGGGAATCCTTCCATCTCAGCCTTTCAAGTAGGTGGAACTTTAGGTGTGCTACCATGTTGTTTGTTTCTTTATTTGTTAGTTGGTGAATCTGTCTGGTTTCCTTCTCCTTCACTTCTCTTTTCTTTATCCTTTCATCTCCCTTCTTCCTTTTTCTGTTCTTTTCTTCTTACATCATTTTGATTTCAGGGGGCATACATACACCTCCACTGCATGGGCAGATTGTAAGGTGGTGGGAAGTGGGCTCCAGGGGGCCCACACATCTGTCAGCAAACACTTTAATCTGCAGATAGCTTCTGAACCACAGATCCCCCCATCACACCACAATCAAATCTCAAAACTGCAAAAAGGACAACCCCCATCCCCAGACCAGCATCAAAATTTAACAAATCCAGAGGATCTACATCAGGAAGAATAGAGTATTGAGCAGACAGAAGTGAAAGCTATCCCCCCATCACTGAGTAACAGAATTTAAGAAGGTGGAGAAAAGAGAGGAGGAAAATTATCACAAATGCAGAAGAATCAAAGGAAGAACACAGGTCCCATACCTGGGAAGACAGCAGCTGAAAAATACAGAGAGTAGAACTCAAACAATGAAGAACTTCCAGAACAACTGGTCTCAAACCACAAACCTAGAGATCAAGATAGTAAAAGAGAGAAAGAACAGAAATGAGAAGTGACAAGAGGAAAGAATGAAGGAGCTGATAACTGAGTTGACAGCAATAAAGAATATAGCGTATGAAATAAATATCAAAGTGATAAGCCTGGAAAGCAGAATTAACCAAGCAGAAGAAAGACTCTCAGAGCTTAAGGACCAAACTATGGAGATAACACAAACTATTGAAAACACAGAAAATAAACTTAAAAAGACAGAACAAAGCCTCCAAAAGATGTACACATATGTCAAGAGGCTGAACCTATGATTAATTGGCAATCCTGAGGAAGACAGAGAAACAGAGACCACCCTGGAATAAACATATCATGAAATTATACAAGAAAACTTCCCTCATCTCATCAGAGATGTGATCATTCAAACAAAAGAAATTCAGAAAACCCCTGCAAGATGTCAAATGAGAAAACCAACTCCTAGACACATAGTAGTTTGCTTACACAAAGTAGGTATAAAAGAAAATGTCCTAAGTGTAGCAAGAGAGAAGGGTCAGACTACTTACCCAGAAAGACCAATTAGAATAGCAGCAACTTATCGAAAGAAACACTACAAGCTAGAAGAGACTGAGGTCCAGTCTTCAAAGATCTCAAAGACAAACAATTCCAACCAAGAATTTCCTACCCAGCTAAGTTTCATAAGTGGTGGATAATTCAAATCTTTCCTAGACATTCAATCTCTAAGAGTTTACACCGCCTCCAGATCAGCTCTACAAGAAATCCTTAAGATAGTATTAAACACAGAGGAAAGAAAAAAAGGAATGACCACACTTCCCAAGAATGCAGAAAAGAGATTGAAAATACACACACATATATCAACCCCAAAATCAAAAGAAAACCAACAAACAAATAAACAAACAACAATAAACCCAATAAGAGCCCCATGACAGGGATAAATTCTCACATCTCAATAATTAACCTGAACGTGAATAGACTAAATGCACCACTGAAAAGACATAATGGCAAGCTGGATAAGAAAAAAAAAACATAATGCAACAATATGCTTTTTCCAGGAGAATTATCTTACCAAAATGGACGCTCACAGACTCAAAGTGAAGAGGATGGAAAACAAATTTTCAGGCGAATGAAACACAAAATAAAGCATGTGTACCCCACACGTTTAAAATAATAATTAAAAAAATTAAAAGAGAGAGAGAGAAAAAGAAAGCCGGAGTTGCAATCTTAATATCAGACAAAATATAATTTAAGCTCTCAAAAATTAAAAAAGATAAGGAAGGTCACTACAAAATGATAA